TTCCCGTACTCTGAGATCTCTCTCTCTCTCTCTCTCTCTCTCTCTCTCTCTCTCTTTCTCTCTCTCTCTGTTGAGTCTATTTTCTTTCCCCTCTGAAATAAGATTTCAATTATATGATTTAGAGTGGTCAAATTTAAATTATTCGTGGCCGGAAGGATCCTAAATATTAATCTGCCCATTATTATTCTATAGACTCACACTCAAAGATCCTCATTCAATTCATGTAGAAGACTATTCCAGGTCTCGTTGATGATCCTTTGAAGAGCCTCCATTTTATCTCAAAATTTTCTGTACAGTAAACCAATCTTTAGTATTGATTGTATTTTCCGGCCACGAGCCTTTGTGAAGTTTACAAGTTCTAGCATATGAGGTTCACAGTTTCGCGATCTCATCAGATTACCAATATCTAAAGTCGATTCGGTGCATTACAATTCGCGATATGGTTACATCGCACGTCGCGATCATGATATCCCGAAACCATTCTGCTTTTGTGTTCACATCTACCAGACCATGTATATAGGTCATGATATTGCAAGAATCGCCGTTATTAGGACATCCTCATTAGTTTTTTCATCTCCGAAAAATCTGTGAATTCATCAACCACAGAATAAGGATAGAGATCCTCATATAGATATATAAGTGATCTGAAAGAATCTCTGTCTCTTCCATAGCCTTTTATCCAGAAATCCGCGCTGCCACAGAGATAATCTACGATAGATCGATTATGGATTAGGTACTTATTGAGCTATGATTTAGCAATCGGAGGTCTAGTCTAACCGCCCAGTCTGACAGCATATTGACATCTCTAGTATCCGTTACTACAGGAAGTCCCATAAGTTAAAATCATCTCTCCCCCCTCCAGTAGTAGTAAAAGGCATGTTCTATAATTCAAGATGATTCTACGTATCCCATCTAGATATTTCTCAACCAAATCAGTTCTCAACTGAGAGGATCATATGTACTATGTAGCGCTTTCCAGTCTATTGCCAATTACCATTTGTTCCATAGTATAATGGGTGGGGGCACGTTCATTTTCGCTGTATATATTACAACCCCTGAGTTATTCAAATCACCAAACTAACCGAGACTCTCCGGGATCCGCCGCGACAGTTTTCACCTTTCACTCAACTGGGATAAGAATGTACAAACAGGTTCTGTGCCAGTCTTGTATGATTAAGATTGGTTTATAAAATTATCAGATCAACGAATAATCATCTATTTCCTATAAATTTCTCGTCTACTCCCGAGATCGCGATCATGAGTTTCTTCACTATTTCCTCCCTTTTACTCTCTAGCTTTATCCGAGCTTCCAGTCAGTTATTGGCATGCATTTTCTTCTATCTAATGTTTGAAAGGATTATTCCTTACACATAATTTTACATGTTCAAAGAGGAGCAATTCCGTTGATATCCGTGGGTTCCATAATTATAGTAGAAGTCATTACAATCAGTTTTTGCTGTGAAATTCTGTCCAATGTGGCCTCTCTGGTGACATCGAAAGCATCATAAATCAATTTTTGCTAAATAACACCCGTGTCATCTATCCTATTTTAATTTGGCTTATTGATTTGGGAGACGATGGCTTCCATAATGGGTCACTTTACAGAGAACTTATTTCTCTTAGTGTCCAGCATATTTCGCTTGTCTCGATATCTTTGCATGCGCAATCCCCGCAATTGTTATTACATTGGAAATGATTGATTCATCTAGATCTGTGATCTTAATTTTGCCGTTTTGATCGATCGAATGATCTTAACTTCCGATTCAGTCAAGATCTCCCTGAATCGAAGTACTAAAGTTTTAAAAGGACCCTTCCTTCCTGAGATTTCAAGAATGATTCTCCTATTAATGATTCTTTTAGGTCGAACTTCTTCTATATTGATTTAAATTAATCTTCTCCCTTGTTAGGAATAACATCTGAGAATATGTTATGTTAAAATTAATCTTTGTGAGGAGCGTCATTGCAGCAGAGCTTTGGCTCAATTGTGAGGATTAGTTTCCTTTTAGTCTTTGATACTCCAATTGGGATGATTCAATTTCAAATTAAGAGGCTTCAGTCATTTTCTTTTTCTTGCATCCAATTATCCGCATCCATATTTTCTTTGATCTGGAGTTGTTAACATGGAGGTGGCAGATATAGCTTCGTTGGAATGATTTTTATTGGAATCTCCGTTTTCTTCTCTCTGGATAATTTCCTAATTGGAGAGACCTGATTGATTAGAGATTGCATTCATTCCCTTCTATAGCAAGTTCAAGTCTAAAATCAGAAAGTTTCTTATCTATTAACCATTCTATTCTCTATTTTCTTATAAGAATGACATTAGATTATAATGTTATAGTATTTTAATGTATTGATTGATAACAATATGTAATTTGATAATTCTTTCGATATAATTAAATGAATGTTTTAAGTAAATTTTTGATAAATTAATAATTTGTATGAAAATTGCAAAGAAAATTGTATAATTGTAATTATAATAACACATAATAGAAATATTATAAATCACAACAATTTACTTTATGTTGACTTTATATTAATGCATTATAATAAAGTCTTTCTTCTTTTTTTTAATATAATTAAATAGCAAGTCATATTGACACGATTGCATAAATAAATATACATCGAGATCAATCGAACAAGGATCCAACAACAAATCGTTTGGTGTATACATCTGGAATATTAACGACGATGTATATCTATCTACGCAAACGATCTATCTATCTAAATTATCTACAGATAAAAACGTGGATATATTAATTAAAGCCTGATTAATCGAATGATCGAATATATGGCTGCAAAATTTCCGTCTAGAATATGTAAATCATTGCAGCCACCAAAGTATATAAGCATTGAATTTTTTTCGGATAATCATCAGCGAATTTTCAATTGTAAAAGGGACATGAAGTTTTTCAAATGTTTCCTATCATTAGCGTGTTCGAAACTACTGAACTTCATTTTCCGGGAATTGGACGCGGTTTTCAAAGAATGTAGCGAACGTGAAATTGAAAGATCTGGCGGTGCTCAAGGATAAAGGAATGATTATTAGTGTCAAAAAATGGAACACGAAGATAAGTAAAACATTCCATATTGAAAAATTCAAATTTATTTCCACTATTATATCTGAACAATGAATTTCCTAACATGAACGTATGTCCATTTAATTTTGTCCACGACTTTTATTACTATTTATCCTATATATAATATATATTAGGATATCATAGAACAATCAGAGAACTGATCCGGGATGTTGGTTGATTATGCGTCCTATCAAAGAACAGCGATTCATCAAGATAAACGAAGGGGAATTGATAATAAACACTAAGTTTTTATAAATTTAAGAAAAATTAAAGCTTAAGTCTTTAAGTCTTTAGAATTACTTAGATCAAATAGATCAAAAGTTAGATCAAAAGTTTTCGAAAACGAATTTTTTCATGAATTCAATAAATTCATATGGAATATTTTAAATTATACGGATTAGCTGAATGCGATAAGAACTGAACAACTGCAGCTCAGTAATATCAAGAATTATATCGAAATCACTATATTAATAGTGAAAATTTTCGGGCATTGATTTTTCATGCATACAACACAGAATTTAATGCCCATATACGAGATGGATGCGCAATTGTCATGGATTAACAATGTTTTGTCAACGAGACGGAAAAGAAGACGATTAGATACTATTAGCATTTATAAGATTAGCCATTATCTGAAGTGAGTGATTAATTATTAATTAATTTGAAAAATATTCATTTAATAATAAATGTCTTCATTTTGTTCTAGTGTTAATCGTATATCGTATTCTTAAAGAGTATAAGAGTATTTTATATTTGTACAAATATGAGTGCAAAATTTATATTTTCAGGATTATGTTCAACAGCTTGTATATTCGAAATGGCTATTAGAGAAAAAATGAAATGGGATCTTTCATTCTGCATATATATATACATCGTGAAGATAAAGCATTTTTTATGCAAGAAGAATACTATAATCACTATAATAAACATTTTTTTGAGCGAAGAAAATTCCCTTGCGCTTTATGTTTATGTTCAATACAAGTTTTGGCTGATTTGGTTTGCTCGTGATTAGGTTCATTGGATTGTTTATACTAGATATCTCGATATGCTAGACGATTTATATAAAGTATTTTTGGAAAATGTTTTTCTAGAAACTTCTGAAAGAAATTTCATTAGAAATCCAGAAAAATAATTTTCAAACATAATGAGCGCTAGTTGCATAACGCCAAAAATATCCGGACTTAAATGAAACTTTTCGAAATAAATTAAATGACCGCGGTAATTCTATAACGTGATTCCTATCGGAACAACCGGAATTTTTTTGATTTTTTTCTGGAGATATTTTAAAATGAGATGTACCACTATCCATTACTATTCATTAATAGAGGAAATAATTAAAAAAATATATGTTGCTATATCCAATATCTATATTGAAATGTTATAACATCCAAGAAGATATTGTACATGAAAAGAAATTTGTATTATAGCAAAGGATAATTATTACTTTACTTATCATAAAAAAATCAGCTCTTTCTAAAATCGACAAACAGCAATTTTTTAAACTTTAGGGAAAACTGTAATTTAAATTACAAGAAATAAATTTCGTATTTATTTTGCATATATTTTGCATATATTTTACATACATCTTGAATATTTTGATATGTTATATTCTTGCATATTATCTATTATCTAAACAAAGATCCGTTGTTTAGTTATAAACAATAAATTTTTAAATTTAGTTATAAACAATGCTGGCTAAGTCATCAATCGATTGTATATTTTTTAATCAAAACTATATCAAAAAAAGATACTTCATTATTTATATTCATAATTATTAATATAAATACGGTGTTGTAACATATATAACATTATTATTAAATCACATATTGCGATGTTCAAATAATTATTATAATTATTATAATATGATATTAAAATATAATATTATAATATTGTAACATTTTATAATACTTTATTTGCGAACACAATATACTACAATTACTATAAAAATGCTATTAATTCTATAGGTTTTAAGCTAGTATTGATTTATATGTATTATATATTATGTAAGTTGGTTTCAATATACAGTTTAAAAAAAAAATCATATACAGTTATCGAATCATAAGCGAAGAATCGAAAAATAATAGTTATAAGACTGATAAGATCGATATCAATCTTAATTGATAATATCAATCTTAATTGGAATCAAAATCGATATAAATAATAAGAAATAATTATTTTATCTACAATAGTTATAATATATTATAATTTTATTCTTGAAATCATTTCAATGAAAACCGTATATAACAATTTAAAATAATAATTTTCAAAACTGTTTCAATTTTTACTTCGAATTCTTTTTCCGATAGATTGCATAAATCGTCATTTTCTTTTTCATCTTCATTCTTTCTTTTTTTTGATGAAGTACAAGATAAGAATTATGATAGTAAAGTACTAGGTGAAAACG